TCAGTATTAAGGCCTGCATTCCTGATACACATCTTCAACGACAATATCGGACAAGATATTGATTTCGCGCCAAGTGTTGAAATCATCTGACCTGTACTTGCCTACTTTCTTATTTAACTTCAAATCTAGCCATTTCGAAAATGGTTCCATGCTCTTAGAATGATTATATTGAGTGGCGTACAAGGACCAGACTTGTTGATGTTTTTCTCGATTCCAAGCATGAGCAAGAGCTTGAGAAAGAGCTTTCTGGGAGTTGTAGTTTGTAATGTTACGAGAATAAAATGACCGAAAAGCCATGAAACCATTCAATCGCTTCCTTCCTTTTTGGACTTTGTGTCTTGTGGGTTTTTTCCTTGCTACCTTGTTCGACCTATCGCTCCCATTATCTTTCGATCCATATTCCGATAACAATCGCTTTAATGAGGGAGAAGTGGTTGGAATTTGGGGAAGGTTTGTCAAGAATGATAAGTTCAGTCCATCCAATGTCATTTTCGCTAAATCACTATATGAGTAGGAATTTTCTGAAGGAAGCAAATATATTGCAACCCTACTCGTGCGTTTACAAAAAAAAGCAAGGCTTATGAAACAGCCTTCTTATTATACTACACCCTTAGCAGAACAAGCTGTGTCATGATTCAGAACGTCTGACAGCTCTTTTGAAACGGTGACCGTTCGTTCCCTCCGTCGTCTATTAGATACCCAATTCCTCACCTGGGGTGCACAAAGTCCAGTTTTATGAACTAAATGTTGTAAATCTCTTTTCGACAGATACGGGTTGTCTTCATTCTCGTTGTACCTATAGTTAGTTCAAGACTCGAGTACCTACCAATTCTCTAGCTCCATCTGAGCGGTTTTTGGAAATCGTTTGGAACGTTTCTCAATTTTGTGTCGCGCTTGATTACTCATCTTTGTGGCATATGGGGGGCAACCACATCCGTATTCTAAAGCTCTTTCTGAGGTAGAATCCATTGAAGATTTGGAGAATTTGTCATGAGATTTGCATGCTATATAGTCCAATAGCAACTGTTCCAATTTGGCTGCTCGTATTTGACGCTCCATCAGGATGTAAATCAAGCACCTAGTCTTCTGCTGTATTTCAGCTAGCATATCATCCTTGGGAGTTGTGGATGGGGAACTAACAACATGTGCGATGGCCTTTGGTTAGTAGCATGGGTTTTCTACTCACAGTCATAAGCGAGTGCACACGAGACTCCCAATATAATTCGTCTTCAAACGAAAGGTCTGACTCAATGATCGAATCGATTAATTGATCCAGAACAGTCGGGAGGTCTGGGGCTCTATATGGTTAGAATTTTTCCCGAATGTGAGATACGTACGAGCATTGTTCTTCATAGTGTGACATCGATGAATCACTATTGGCTACTGAATTAGTTTTGCTCATTTCCTATACTATTTGTGGATGGAAATAACCTAGTTAAGTTTTGGGGGTCCCGCGGATCTCTCATGGTGGCAGTTGCTACAGCCTTCAAACGGACGGGGTGTCAGGTGTAGCATCGCGACGAAAAGATTTGCCACAAATTTACCCGCCCTTGAGGTAGGTATTGGTGTTAGAAGCGGATCCTTTTATCTTGAGGTATTATGGGACCAACTTTCGCGGGCACTCACTTCTTCACGTGAATCACAGGATTCCCACGAGTAGCCTCAGTCATTTTTCGCGCTCAGATAAGACAAACAATTCGCACGTTGCTAATAATGGTATCACCTTGATAAAATTGAAGTAAACGCTTATGTAATATGGAATAAATAGTGTAAATTGCCATATTTGTGGTCGGCCATAGAACGGGATCTAGGAGGGTATAGAACTCAAGCTGGCACTACTCGATGCAGCGTATCTGCAACGGTTGCGTCGGGCATATATTTGTTATAGTTTGGTATGTAGCACGAATTGAGTGCTTTGAAACTTTTCATCATAGGCCACATTTGTAATACGAGTGTATGCCGAACAACCAACTTTGAGTGCTAACTCTAGCCAGGTTATGAGCATGCTCACAGTAATACGTGCTTTGGACCGTCTGCTTAAGACTCCTGGCGCCTCCATTTCATCATAAGAAATGATTGAAAAACATCACGGCAGTGTAAGGGCGAAATTTTTCTTGTTATATGGAGTACAAAACAATTGAAAACCGTCGTCCATGAATACAGATAAGTCCACAAAGTCTCTAGCGCCTTCGGCGAACTTTCCGTAAGTTCGAACCTCTTCTTGTTTATATGTTACAAGCTAACAGTCTAGATTTTGGTATGGAGGTATGTATCAACTTAGTCGATTGATAACAATGCAGGAGCGGCGTCGATGTTTGCCTGTCTCTTTACCCATCCTCTAGATCTAGCCAAAGTCCGCCTCCAGACCGCGAAGGTTCCTGGGGGTGGTTTGGTGTCTTTGGCGTTTAAGATTGTAAAGACAGAGGGCGTACTTGCAGCTTATGCGGGGCTAACTGCGTCGCTGCTAAGACAGGCAACATATTCAACCGCGCGGTTTGGTGTTTATGAAGAGTTGAAAGAGATAATGACAGCCCACTCTAGAGATCACCCATCTACCTTTCAACTACTGGCAGCATCTATGGTTGCTGGTGCGGTCGGTGGTGTTGTTGGAAACCCTGCGGACGTTGTGAATATTCGAATGCAAAATGATAATAGTCTTCCGGAATCTCAAAGGAGACATTACAAGCATGCATTGGACGGTCTCCAAAAGATAGCTAGAGAAGAAAACCTGACTGCGTTATTTAGGGGACTTGGACCCAATTTGGCTCGAGGCATTCTGATGACTGCCTCGCAAGTTGTCTCTTACGACGTGGCCAAGAAACTGCTTGTTGAAAAGCTAAGCATGGATCCGAAAACTAAAGCGACCCATTTTTCTGCATCGTTAATTGCTGGTTTAGTAGCGACGACTGTCTGCTCTCCAGCAGATGTTCTGAAAACGAGAATTATGAATAGCTCAGGCACTGGTCAAGGCTCTTTTGGTATTCTCAAGGACGCCATATCTAGAGAAGGTTTGGTATTCATGTTTAGAGGATGGACCCCTGCATTTATTAGGTTAGGACCACATACGATTTTAACTTTCATTGCTCTGGAAGAGTTGAGAAGGTTGAAGATTGGTCTGTAAGTATGCAAGTTTTCATGCATATATGTTATCTACTATAAAGGGTATCACCTATACTTATATTGAGGTATGACAAGGACATCTTCGCGCGTCTCCTTGAAGAGGGAAAGGCTTTCTTTGCTTCCATGGCTCAAGCTTGTCGTCAGTGTGGGACGATGGTGGTTGTCCGTTTATTAGTATAGATTTCTTCTCGCATTTTCTGATCAACTTTTACTTTCGCTTGTCTGAGTATCGATATGCTGCCCGTGAGTGTAGTGTGAACTGTTTGGTGTTTTTCTGCTCACCAAATAAGGGTATGAACGGTTCTTCTCATAATCTGTAATATTCGTACGGACTTGAGTAGGTTTAATAAGACTGCTTCAAAGTAGGGTAACAAGATAATATTCAAGTTGGTCTATCTATAGCAAAATTAAAACAGTGACTTGACAAATGTACGTGTCTATCGAAACCTAATATTGCGAAAACTAACCAAAAGAACGAGAGACTCGCAATGAGAGTCAGCGAAAGCAATAGATGTTGAAGTTTGTAAGATACAAACTCCAATCGATTTGCAATACTAATAAATCATAAGCTGCCAGGTCGTGTAGAGTCCAGCGGTGTAGATAAAATTTTATTCTGTAAGACTTGAACTTTACTCCCACTCGTCCCCAATCATGTCAGCAATATATCGTGTCCTGAAACGTGACAAGGACGCGAGTAAACAGGGAAGTGACTTTAAAAGATCAAGGGATAGACTTAATCGCCAAAGGTGCCTGCTTGTCTCTTCTCGTGGTGTGATACATAGGCACAGACATTTCATCAATGATTTGCAATCAATGTTGCCTCAATCAAGGAAGGAGCCAAAACTAGACTCCAAAAAGAATCTTTTCGAGTTGAACGAGCTCGCAGAACTACACAACTGCAATAATATCATGTACTTTGAGAGTCGCAAACATCAGGATCTCTACATGTGGCTTTCGAAAACCCCTAACGGGCCAAGCATAAAGTTTCACATTCAGAATTTGCACACAATGGACGAGCTCAATTTCACCGGGAATTGTCTAAAAGGGTCACGTCCAATATTGTCGTTTGATAAAACGTTCGATTGCGATATTCACTTGAAAATTCTCAAAGAAGTGTTCATCCACCAATTTGGAGTCCCTCCTGGTGCAAGAAGATCAAAGCCCTTCATTGATCACTTGATGACTTTTGCTTACTTGGATGGAAAAATATGGGTCCGCAATTATCAGATAAGCGAGCCTATGGGTGATCAAACAGAGCAGTCAGATCTGGAGGAAATGAAATTGATCGAAATTGGACCCAGATTTGTTCTCACTTTGATAACCATACTGGAGGGCTCTTTTTGTGGCCCGAAAATCTATGAAAATAAAGAATACGTTTCTCCTAATGTTGTTAGATCGACGCTTAAAGTTGATGCTGCTAGAAAGGCCGTTCTTCGGCAAGAAAAATCGAGATTGGCACGGCACGGAAAAGAAAATGGCACTAAGATTATGGGAGACGACGAGCTTTTCGCCTGAAAACAATTGTAATTAATTCTCAAGTCGACTTTTTTGAGTCAGATGCTCTCAACAGAGATTGCTCTCCAGGGCATTTGATATAATTATTTCTAATATATGTTATTTAGGCTATCTGTAGCAATGCTTTCGCAATCAGGAGTGCTTTTCCAAGTACTCCTTCACGAACTTTTCCTCCTCGGGCGAGGATGCATCGATTTTTGGTTCCAATTTAACTTTTGGTGACCATGGCTTTGGAGCCACAAGAGCCACGACGCTTCCAATAGTCGCAATAGCAAGCTATTATTAGTACTGTACGATAGTCTAATTCATACCTACATGGTGTGGGGGGATTGACTTCCCGAGTATAGTGTATGCGCCTGCCATTTAAAGATAACTATCAAGTTTTTTGAAGATGTTTTTTTTTTGTTCCGGACTCATGGGTCAACCTAGGATCTCAAAGAGGGTAACTAAAAAACTTGAATTTAGTCTTAACAAATTTCAATTGTCACTTTCAACAGAATCTCGAGCCAAAACCAGAGAGCTCTGTATTGAAACTAGAGGCTCAAATTAATTACATGCAGGAAATTTTGATGCTTGTTTAGAGACATCGGTTATTTCATCCAAATATTCGCCCCATGAACCCACCAAGGCGTCATGGCTTTTTGTCAAAAAAGGGGGATGCTTCTCCACGCGATTCGCCTTGAGCTAGCTGACACATCAATATACGAAACGAGGGTTAGTGCCGATACTTATTTCAACCGTGCGACGCCTGCCCGTTTAGAACACCCAAGCCGCAGGCCATCAGTTGAGTCTCTCGATCCAGCTGGAAACTCGCCACTGACGTGGCCCGCCAGTCCCGGACCACTGCAAAACACTGATCAGACTCAAGATAAAGAGTACACGGGCAAGAAAGTTTTGGGAAATGACTCTTTAGCTTCAAGCTTTGATGATGAGAGTGTAGGTTCAGACCAAATTACCCGTGAAGAGACTTGTGCTCTAAAAGCAGTTGATAAAAACTTGATCAGTGGTACTGTCCGCGATGATTCTTTACCAAAGGCCCAAAGCATAAAGCCAGCTGCACAAGGTGTACATTCTACCGCATTCTCCACCGATTCCAGTGTAGATACAAGTCTTCTTGTCCCGGAAGATGCTTTCAAAAGAGACAATTCGGGCCTAGCATCTGATTCTTTAGAATCTAGAATTTCCCGCACAAAGAGCTTTTCATTCAAGAACACCGTGCCCTCGGATAGAGAAATGGATGCTTTTGGTTTCCAGAGCCAGCTAGACTCTGACGATTACTTCTCATCTGATTCGGAATTGTCCAGATCGAGTGACGACCTATTGAGCTCCAAAACGCAGCAGAGTCTAACATTGTATGCTAAAAATTCTTTGTATCAAACAACGACCAGCGGCTCCAGTCCCTCAAGGTATTTCAAATCTAGGGTGGCCGAATCAGGGTCGACATCGGAATTAAGAAGAGGTGGGGAACTACATTTTACTAAGGATAAACCTGGTCCTTCTTTTATGCAAAACCATTCCACTCTGACCGATTTATTGAAGGAAAATGTTGGACTCGAAAACAATCTGTCCAATGTTACTCACAATGATAAAGCACTTCGATGTTTGATCTCGGTTCCCCGATTATCTATTGGTTTTGAAAATCCGATTCCAATAAAGATAGACGAGTCTTTTTCTGTGGAGGATGTTATTCAAAGCTCGCTATCACAAATCCGGAGACTAAGTCGTGATAAAGGTCGCATTTTTTCTGTCGATTTGAATCCAAAGCTATGGAATCTATATTTAGCTGACGACGATGGACAGGTTGACGACGATATGGGGCCCCTGGAGAGAAATAGGTTGCTCATTTCTTATTGTGCCGACGAATTCGTTCTAGATTTCAAATCCAAGGATGACTATTCCCAAAATGATATGAAACGGGGTCTTGACAGCTCAAGCGTTTTGGAAGACACTACAAGAACTGGACCTGGATCCATAGAAACTCTCGGTTTTGAGAGAATTGCTCCTTTAAACCATCTTTTGCATGCAACTTCCATTGGGTCAGAAATCACCTTCGATGACAAAAAGAATGAAAAGAATTCTTTTTTTGGCTTGAATTCAAAAAGGCTTACCCCTGGGCAGCATAGCCAACAGGGACGAGACGTTGAGCCACCGATAACAAAACCTTCAGACAATGGCTGTATGTGCAATGACACGGAATCAAATTTTGAGACTATGCAAACGAGTTCGTCCCATCATGTCTCTAGAAGGAAAAGAAAATTTCAAACTTTGCTTCAATTGACAGGTCTTAACGGCAATGATCTCCATAATTCCAAAACAAACCAAGGTGAACCTCAAACTATAAATGATCGCTACCTGGGTTCAGGTACCTATTATCGATGGACTATTTGGCGGCGCCAACAAATGTCTTTCAAAGGCAGATATCCCAAATCTCTTGTAATAGACGGGCGTCAAATATACATTCTTCCATTCAATGAATCGAAAGGATCTTGGTATGAGTCAAAAACAACTAGTTTCAATTTCAATCAAATCATCAAGGTGAAACAAAATCCTCGCATCCCTCACTATTTCAAAATAGTTGTGGTGAAGCAAAATCATGAAGCTCCCAAGACATACCATTTGGAAGCGGCTAATGCGGCGGAGTCCAGAGCAATCGTCAAAACTTTCAATTTGTTAATGGAAAGATTTGGACCTACATATGAAAAATATAGGCAATCATAATGGATGTTGGTGATGTCAATGTGCGCTAGTAAACAAGAACACAGCGACTCAAAAGCTATATAATTAGGCTGTATATGTTTTCTATGGCGGGACTTCAGAAGTTCATTCCAATCAGAATTCTGAAATCGCAACTGCTATTGATTGTATATCATCGTGCGAGATGGAAACTTTAATTGCCTTTACCCCTTGAGTGGAGGCAGCAATGTTGGCTTCCCCGTGGAGTCTGACTGAAGGAGCTCCGTTAACATCCCGAATAATCTCGATATCTCTCATAGACGCACCTGCCCCTTTGGACTTGACGCCTAATGATTTGAAAACAGCTTCTTTAGCAGACCAAGTTCCTGCAAAAGACGCCCTAGGGCACGGAGAAGATTCACAGTATCGAATCTCGGCTTTTGTGAAGTTTTTTTCCAGGAACGTTTCGTTTTCACTATTAACCGTGGACAATAACTCGACGTCAACACCGACACCTTTTTCCCCAGTCAGTCTAGTGGCCATGTTTTTGAGGAGCTTGGCTGTTTCTATCGATAGACCACTGGATAGCTTAGAGGACTGAATTTCGGATTCTTTGAAAATAAGCTTATTTTCTTTGGTTGCTGTAACACGAGCAAGAGGGTCCAGATAGACAGATTCCTCTAGGTCATCTGTGTAAGGTGCCTTTGATTTAGCAACAAAGAGAGAGTTTGTTAACATGGCATTGTGCATGTAACGATATGCCTTCTTGTATCTTGTGCTAACCAACTTTTGATATTCTTGGTATTCCTTTTCAGAAAGTGCCGCATAGAGATAGTCAGAGTTGACAATTATTGCTTGAGCGCCTTTTTGTCCAAAGCCAAATGAAGTCACCGAAACTGCCTTTATTCCATCCGTCTTTATTGTTCTCGAAGGAAAGAGAACATACTCATAATTCTCCAGCACCTTATCCACATTGTCGGCATTTCTGTTTCCCGGAACGATGCCCGTTTGCAAAATTTGCAAGCCGCCATTAAGCATCCAGGCACCAGCAGCACCCTTAGGGTGTCCGGTCAAATACTTCTGGAAAACACCATATACAGGATTTCCTTCCGTACGTCCCAAATGGCTCATCATCTTATCGATGGCCGCAGTCTCATTTTTATCGTTAGCTTTAGTAGATGTTCCGTGGAAAGAACACACGCCCAAATCATCTATAGTTAGATCGAATGTGGCCAGCGCTCCTCTTATTGGTGCGATACGAGGATCGTTTTTCCAAAACTCATTACCATACATTCTTTGGGCTTCTTTGATTTGATTTTTGGCTTCTTTTCGAATTTCCTCAGCCCGTTCAGTTAAGAACCTTTCGCCATCAAACAAGCGATCCTCTTTTGCAAGAATGTTGGCTTCTTCCGACAATAATGACAATTCGTTTTCAACCCAGGCTTTGATCTGGGAAGTCCTTGCTTTGAGTTGTCTTGCCCTGTACTTGATATCCAATTTAGGGGATGTGAACCTGGAATCTCCGTGATACTCTCTTGCAGTTGTGAGGATACCTTTCCCTGGTGCAGGCACAGATCTTCCAATTTTATCACTTGCCGTAGATGCCATCGCAACAATACCATATATAGGGACGCCCATTTTGAGAGCCAGTTCTGCTGTCATTAAAATTTGCAATCCCGAGCCCTGAGCTTCCATAAATCCGCTTCTGCTAGTGGTGGTAGGTCTCGACATATCAGCAGGCGTGCGTCCATGAGCAAACTCGTCGTCAGCATTGGAAGTAGCATTCATGTTTCCGAACTCGTACGAGCCTTCTTCCTGGAAGTCATCATAACCACCTACAATCACAATCTTGGCTTTTCCTGATAAAATCGTCTCCATTCCCACATCAACAGATTCCAATGCTGTTGCACATGCCCCAACTGGGGTTTTGATTGGGCCAGACGAGGATAGCAAAAGCATGTTCACCCAGGCAGACATGGTATTGATAAACGACTCTTGAAGAATGTCATTTTGAATAGGTTGGTCCAAGAATCTATCCTTGAACATGCCTTTGAGAGCCGAGACCCCACCCATTCCCGAACCGGAGCAATTTCCAACCTCAGACACATGAACATACTTGTAAAACTCATACGGATCAGTGATACCGGAACTCAAGAGAGTCTCGGCGACCGTAACCAAAACGTAGAGAGTTATTGGATCAACTTGTGAAATGATGTCATCATCAATACCATAAGTGCGAGGATCCCACCCAGTTGGAATTTGTCCGGCAACTAGCCTATCAAATCGCAAAGCTTTCGGAATGTAAAGCTTGGCTCCTTTTAGAACTCTAACCGAGTATTCCTCGGCACCCTCAATAGGAAAGCATTCGACATGATCCCCATGCCAGGCTTTGTATTGTTCCGCGGTAGTTCTATCAGTCTCGAACGGTTCAAGATCATGCTGAACAACAACCTCTTGAATGAACTTCTTTTTCTTTGGATCATACCCATGGAACAGCTCTGGCTCCACGAGCCTGATACCCGAATGTTTCAAAATGTCCTCTTCATATTTCTTCTTGACATCCTTATCATCCACAGGCTGATTGGTTTTCGCGTCAACCCAGCCAGTGTACTGCTTTCCTTTGATGGAACCGTTGAAATATTTGATATATCCCATAATCCAAGCCATCTCAATACAGCCTTCGAGAGAAAACTCTCCACAAGCTTCCATTTCCCACCGAGTTCTGGAACTTCCCCAAGGACCAACCTCAGCAAAGCCTGTTATCACAATTACTCTTTCCAAATCAAGCATGCCCTCAAGATTTGGAGCTAGTGCTTTGAGCTCCTTGTAAGACTTTAGACTTGGAAATTCAAACTTCATGTTAGCCTTTGGTTTAATCTCTGCTTTATTGAACGGGTCGTCTGCTCCAGAGCCATTGACAATCTTGTGTTCAATAGCTGTTTCCACGCTAACGGCCCTCCGAACATCTGAGGTTCTGTTGATATCCATTCTCAATTGGTTAGTATATTCTCTAAGATTTTCAACAAATTGCAGTCCGCCATTGAGGTCAGCCATGATAGGGGCCTCTTCACAAAGCTTCATGACTTCTGGTGTCATTAGACCCAAAATGTTAAATGCCATTTCCTTTTGAGAGAAAGTGCGAACACCCAACTTTTCAATCCCCTCTGCAATGATGTTATTTCCCGACATTAAGCCCGTTCCTCTAGTCCAACCTATCACTGTTCCGCAAATGGTTAAATAGGATGACCACGACTCTGAGTGCCATCTGTTGAAGAGGGTCTCAAGTCCAAGTTTGGACTCTGAATATAAGCCATCGGAGCCAAAAGTGCCATGGTTAGGAGATAGAGGAAGAATTACCTGAGCTGGACGAGTTTGAATATTTCTATCTCTTTTTTTGGACGAGACCTCACCCAATAATCTCAATAAATTAGTTAGCATGATCCGATGAGCCAGCTCAGATTTGGAATCGATGGCATCGATCTCAATTCCCATTTCTGGAATGGCAGCAAATGGGATTACATAGTCCAAGTCCCATTGAAGTCCGCCCTTTTTGGCGTCTTCATAAATATAATCAACAAGTGATTTTATATCTTGCTTTGATCCCTGATTGAAAGGTACCACCACTAGCGTAGAATCCGCAGCACCATATCTCGAGTACATCCGTTGATAATATTCCGTGACATTTTTCGAAAATCTTGACGTGGTGACAATCACTTTGGCGCCACCAGATAACAACCCTTGGAGGATCTCAGCTCCAATCGAACCTGCGCCAGCGCCCGTGACAAGGGCATATTTTCCTTTGAACGTTATGCCATTAACTGCACCCTTCTCAAGACCATCCAAATATGAAGAAGAAGCATGCTTATCATATCTCCAGAAGCCCAATCTGTCTTTCTTTTGAATGTGCAAAAAAGGAATTGTTTCTGGTGGAATAGTACTTGAAACAGGCTTATGAATTTCTGCATAATCCTTTAGCGAAGCAATCTCGTCAGTGTCACTATCAGATTCTGGGACACTTTCGTCACCAAGAACGGCCTTTGCAGATTTAGAGACCTCAATTTCGGATGACTGGTCAACAAAATCAAGCAGTTTAGCATAAAGTTTTTGAAATTCAATCCTGCTTTCAGCCGATGCTTGCTTCGAAATGGCCTTATAAATCCTTGACAGGTCGTCTTTGATGGACGGCTGAGGCTCTTTTGTTAGTTCACCACCCAATGCCATTTCATGAACATATTGTTCCAGCTTTCTAACAGCTGGTCTCACTTCTTCTGTGTAGATTATGCGTCCCTTTTCATCCACAGTTGTCTTTGGTCCAGTAGGGTAAGAAATGTCTTTGTAAACTGGACTTTTGTTGAGAACTTCACGACAGTTGTCAATTAGTTGCTGTCCAAGCTTCTTTGCGAGTTCATATGTCTCACCCTTATGAGTTGGGGTATGATCAATGTGGTACTGCATGAACTTTATTAGAGTAGGATTGGCTCTATTCATGATTTGAATACATTGAGTGACTGTCTCCCTGTCCACAGATTTTAGCTTTCCAAAAATGATATCGAAATACATGGATAACGCATCCTGTCTGGCCCAGTTCCAGTACGAGTCATATGATCTAGCTTTCAGGGACGAAAACACAGGTTTGATTCCCGACGCATAGAATTCACCATGCTCCTCGGCCCACAAATCAAGCTCAGCTTGAAGGATAGCAGTAGCTTCTTTCTCCTTGAGAAGAAGCTTTTCACCTTTCATCAAATCGTAATTCAGGTATCTTGCAAAAGTCTCTAATTGTTGACGAGCAACAGTTTTATTCTCCTTCATTGCGGCATCAAGAGCAGCGGAATCGACTACCGCAGATGCACCAGAGCCACCAGAGCCACCAGAGCCTCGAGGCGAGGCTTGAGATAAAGTGACACCGTTTTGAGAGGCATAAGAGTGGGAGGCAGAATCCAAAAATAACTTAGCATCAGCTTCTGAACCAAGCCTCTGGCTTGGTTCATTTGTAAGGGCATACAATAAAACCGAATCCTGTCTTCCCGGACCAAGTCCCCATCTAGACTGAAGATACTTTCTGGCCACACCTACCGAAAAACCACCAGGCATTTTGGAGCTCATAAGTCTTGCAATGAGAGAGGAGGACTGCTTTCCGAGCGAACCCTGAAACGTTTCTTCAAACTGCTCAGCAAGCTCTTGCAACGGGGAATCTTCTGGCTTCTCTGGAGTAGCTCCAAACTCCTTGCCTAGATCACCCAGGATTTCATTCTGAATGGTAGATTTTCCACCGACAAGATCCTTGATTGCTTTTCCCATGGAGATTTCATTGAGGGATTTCTTCAATTTATGAGCAACTAACGCCTGCAAAATTAACGAAGCTTTAACAGGCTCATCAGGAATATTGACTGCTGCCTGTGCAGGCTCTGGCGTAGCTTGTTGATTGACAACGGGCAAAGAATCGTTGATCGGAGCAGCAGTTCCGTCGAATGGTTTTGACGGTTGAAGAGGCTCTTCAGGGGCGGCCACAATATCAGCAAGATCTGGAGTATAATATATTTCTTTTTGGTCTTTTGAGTAGCAAAGCACCTGTCTTTGCAAGGAAAGCGCTGCATCATAGGATTCGTACTTCGCCTTTATCGTACGCGACGCCATGCCCGCTAAAGTGGGGGATGGCCCTATTTCGACAACACGTTCTGTGTTGAAATCTCTCAGGAAAACGTCTTGAGTTTCAATCCATCTGACAGGTGAGGCAAATTGGTATGCCAGAAGCTCAGTCAACAAAACATGAGACAGTTCTTGTTCAATCTCTGGCTTCATTTTATTGTAGAGAAAGAATCAATATTTTCAGCACTGAGTACGTCAATTTAGAACTTAAAATATTGTAAAAACTTGTTGAAATAATTGTTGAGCTTTCAAAGGCTGTGTAAAATGTGTGTTGTTGAATGATCGTTGTATTGTAGGCATTTTAAAAGACTTTAAAAAGGTTTTATTTTTACGCGAAATTTTGTCGAGAGAAATAGCTAAAGATAAGCAGAGTCACTATAATAGATCCAAAACTTTCTTAGCGTCCCGAGGAAAGTTAACTAAGCAATACACTCAAATATGTCTGCGGATTTAGACAACTTTCTGGGCTTGACCACTAGCCCGATAAGAAATTCGTTGCCCCTTATCTCAGAACGACTTGAAAAGTATAGAAGGCTAGTCCTTTCCTTGGAAGCGTATATTCACGATCATCTGAGTATCGTCACCACAAGCATTAAGTCACACGAGAGGTTACGGAAAAGTACTTCTATCGACTCGGTAGTTAGGTTTGAAAGTGATCCGGAGGGTTCCGCGCCAGTGATTGAGGCATCGAAGAATGAGCGCACAGAGTCTAACGACGACATAAACTCTTTTTTTCGCCTTTTGCAAGATCAGACGGAATCACTGATCAAGCAAATGGGTCTTGCAGAGACCACCATGAGAAGCCAAGTTATTCCACAATTGAAGGGGCTTCAATCATCGATAAGTTCAAAGCAAAAAGAGTTCAGTCATTTGTGTCACAAGCATGAAAAGGAATACAAGCTGGCATTACAACAAACCACGAAAGAACTGGAACACTTTGAATTATCTATCACGAAGTCCGAAATGTTACCAGAAAATGCAAAACTGGATTTTCGCCATGACCCTTACTTCAACAAGAAAGTACTCCTGTCTCAGGCAGACACACAGCTTCAATCGGAGCAGAAGTATTCAAATTTTATACGAAAAAGCGAAGCTGACTTGAAATTAGTCGAAATACAAACTACTCAAGAGCTGAAGCAAATTTTCGAGCTATTCTCATCATCTCTGATCCACCTTCACGGAGACTACTGTAACACTTTTCAAACGTTAAATACACACTTTCAAAGTATTCCAGATGATCTTGAATGGTCACGATTTCTCAAAGTATATGATATGAAATTATCTTCAGTACACGAGGATTTGCATGACTCATCTTCTGCTTCTTCAAATCGGAACCACATCCCCGAACGGCAGGCCAGAAATCTCGAAACTGTGACATTTCCTAACAGACACCATTTTTCAACAATTCCAATATTGGAAGGAGTTCTGTCGAGAAAGGACGGAAAACTCAGCTCTAAAATGTCATCATATTACTACGCTATCACCAAGAATCGATTTTTTTTCGAGTTTGATTCTAGGCTCTGTTCCAATACGCAGCCAAATCATGTATTCTTCCTACCTGAATGCACTCTCAAAGATTTAGTTGACTCCGGCCCCTACCGATTTAAACTTCGTGGCAAAGATCTGTCATCAGCCTTCATCAAGAGCTCCAAAACATTGGTGTTGGAGGCATCCTCCGAAGATGAATTGAAGACTTGGTACAATGTCCTGAGCGAGCTAACAGGTTTGATGTATTCAAGCCAGGAATATCGAGATTCGGAGTAGTTGATCATTCTTTACAATGAAATATCAGGAATTACACATTTTCCTTCAACTGGAGTCCGAACCAGTGTCACTGTCAGATAGACAATGGCTGTTCATATGAGGTGCCTGTCGACTAAGAGAACACTCACCGTAGTGCACATCTGATCCCACAATATACCCTGGAGGGTAACGACTTCTCTTGGATAAGGGAATATAAGTGTTCACACTGGACCAGTCTACTATAATAAAACATGAACAGCGTGTCGTTCAAGTCGTTTTCATTGGCATCCAGAGCACATGCATTATGTAAGCAATATACGAAATTTATTGTACTCGCAATATTTTTGATTCTACAGTAAACGAACTTTATTTAATTTACCAGCATATTGCAAGCTTCAGCATGAAAGCTATTATTTTAATCAGTGAGCAATTTTCAATCAAAGCATGAGCTCTTCTGATCAGTATAATAAGGTACAAGGAATAGTTCACATCAAACATCTGAAGTCATCTGAATCCCATCGTTTTCCATCTTACATAAAAAACCAAGAGCAATACGAATCCCAGCAAGCACCGTTTGGTGACCCGAGTTTTAATCTAACTTCCAGCCATGTTCCAGATCACCCTCAAATGGCGAAAGGCTTTTCTGACAGTAGGAAAAACCCCTCTCCTCAAAATGTCACCAAGGACACAAATCTTCCCTACAGGCAGACCAAAGGAAAGTATTCTCTACACGATTTCAAGATCATACGGACTTTAGGCACTGGTTTCTTTGGCCGTGTCCATTTGGTCAGGTCAAACCATAATGGACGATATTATGCTATGAAGGTGTTCCGGAAGCGGAAAATAGTCAAGTCAAAGCAAATCGAGCACACCAATGACGAGAGGAGAATTTTGTCCGTGTTGCAGCACCCATTCATTACACGAATGTGGGGGACTTTCCAAGATACAAAATCCATATTTATGATAATGGACTACATTGAAGGTGGAGAACTGTTTTCACTTTTGAGGAAGTCAAAAGTGTTCCCTAATCAAGTGGCCAAATTTTATGCTGCAGAGGTCTTGCTCGCTCTCGAATATCTTCATTCCAAAAACATTGTCTATCGAGACCTCAAACCTGAAAACATACTGTTGACGAGAACTGGACACATAAAACTCACCGATTTTGGTTTTGCCAAAGAAGTCGAAACGACCACATATACCTTATGTGGTACACCCGATTACATTGCTCCGGAGGTAATTGCCGTCCAACCGTACAACAAGGCAGTTGATTGGTGGTCATTTGGCATTCTGATCTATGAAATGCTGATAGGCACGACACCCTTCTACGACACATCGCCGATAAAGATCTATGAGAAAATAAGCAAATGTGAATATGACATTCCCCAATTCATTGAATCGGATGCAAAGTCTCTCATCAGAGGTTTAGTAATGAAGGATGTCACCTTTAGGCTAGGCAACCTTCGCCACGGAGTTGATGATATAAAATATCATCCATGGTTTCAAGAAGTCGTATGGGAAAATCTTTTGAGTGGAAACATTGAAACACCATATGAACCTAATATTCCGACTGGGGTGGGCGACAGCTCCCAGTTCGAGTTATATCCTGAGGAGGAGTATGATTATGGAAATGTCAGCTCCCCAGATGATTATGGGTACTTATTCCCGGAGTTTTGACTTCGCCCCATTTCAGCGATTGATACACCATCCCAGTTTCGGTATTATTCGAAATGCACGATATTTTGGGATGCGATGATACATTTTAGGGATTCGAAAAATGAGCTCTCAGACACGCATTCACCGTATGAAAGTCGATGCCGTCGAGAAAGCTCATTCAGCCTGATTTGCAACTGATTGTCCTGATAAACACACGAATTTGATAACAGATAAAGAATCAATTTCTGATGTGCTGATAAATTGCAGTTTGAACTAGTATGGTTTGAACTAACAACAAATGCCTCTTTAATCTCTTCGTATCTGTCCGGTTTCAGTTCCCACAATACATAAGCCATGTGCACACTTTTGGTGGATATCACAAAGGAAAGTATCTCATTCTCATTTAAAACTTCCATCAAAATCGACATAAGATTTCTTAGGTATTTTGCATTCGTGAATTGTTTACGACGAATGCAGGGCAGCCACAGTGATGAAAGCTGTTGTTTTATAAGGAGATCCGTCAACGCCATCATTCCTAGCTGTCTTAATCGATAACAGAATATCACATACGCTTTGCAGAGCAATGATTCATTCAACGAGGCAAATCTGCTGTCACTAATTGTCGTGCTGATGAAACTTTTCAAAGTGGCCCGGTTCATCTTGAATACCAAAGATGCGAGAAAGGTTGTATTCAATCGCCCATGCGCAAGTAAGTAGTCTGCGACGAAAACGATGTCTGACTGCTTTTTCAACTTCCGTATATATTGGTTGACTGCTTTAACTTCGGATCCCAGTAATAATTGGCAAGGAGCTATAGGATGATCTTGATTGCTAGCTCTTTGTAGTGGTTGCAACACAGAAGTCAATTCGCGCAAAATTCTTTGATAATGATTTCTTTCGAAATCTTCAATATACTTGACCTTTGTTAGCTTGTTTTCCACATGTTGATCTATAGCCCGTCTATGAGTGGGCTTTTCGAGCAAATCCATCAAGTCACTGACGAATGACGCGGGCTGCTTTTGCCCGGGTTTAGTAGCCTTTTGATTAACCTTCAATGTATGATACACGCGACAAGCTTTACGAGATCCTGTCAAGAGTTGAATTTCTTGCATTAAATCTATTGAGGGCCTGAACCACTTGATCATTTGATACAAACACATTTTTCATTTGAAGAGTTCTGGGTAGGGTAACTGATGAAATTCGGTTGCCGGTTTTTTTTGAAAATCCGGTAGCATCAGCCTCGTAAAGTGTACGAAACCAGCTGAAATTTTTTCCTGATCTCATCATCTAATTTAGAAAAGTTTGTCATTTTCCTATTACGTAATTGAAATCGACAGATATTGAATCTTGTTGGTTACCCTGCTTACTCATTATAACTAGCTTACGTAAACATCCTCGATTTGCGCATCAGTGAAGGGGGTAGCAAACAGTCGAGTATACTGCGAGGAGCCTTTATTTGTATCTTTTTTGGATTTACTTCTCCGTCCAACTTCGGTCGTACTATCGTACCTGATTTTTAATATCTTCCTGTGTGCCTCCATATTTTTAAGTCGCATCCTACTATAAGGTGATTTTCCAAATTTGATTATCGGCTTGCTCTGATTGTTCACCTTGAAATCCATCAAATATACTTCAGGTTCGTCTGCTTCGTTTATCAATTTTTCCTGTCCCACGCATTTATATTTTGATAAGATTTGAACGCCTATTTTACCACTACCTGCAAGTGTATCTTTCAGAAACTGAGTCGATAGCTGATCTTCCTTTGATTCCAAATATTTGAAATAGCGATCAAACATTTGACTTCTCCTGCTCCAGACCTACTTGTTAGTTGCCAATCAAGAGTACTCACAATCGAAGCTACTTTGGAAATTGATCTAAAGTCTAACTGGCCGACTTCTTTCTTCAATATTCCATTGACAACCCCCCTTGTAATCAGAAACCTATTTTTGGGTTTTCCAATGACTCTTTTGGCCTTTCCCTCCATTTGACTATGATTATTTCTTTTAGTAGTTGTATTTCGATAAGTTGACCTTTTGTGTATAGTCTTGGATCGTGACATATAGGTATCTGAAACCTCTATTAGCACAAAGGCAACTAGGGAAAATGGTTGCAGGGGTGAAACATTTTTATACCCGTATCTGCCAAAAAAAAAGACACGCACACATACGTTCCTTCCGACGTACCTTGTCACGAAAGGTAATCAGTGTTGAGTGAGTCATGGGGTCTAGTTTGCTACTAAACTCGCTGTTGCTACTTCATGATATGACTACCAACTTGATAGGCAACGAG